CAATTAATAGTGGTCGCTAAGAGTAATTCTTTTATAAGGACAAATAATAAATAATATATTTTGGAAAAGATTTTCGTATCTACAGTAAAGAATGAGTGATATGGTATTACATATTTTGAATTGATAAGGTAAGTATATCTACTTACAATTTCCACGGAATTCAATCTCGAAACTCGCCTCTGTCCGTTACTTGCATTTGTTTTACTATCTTTTTCGACACCCTCGTCAACAGTCCGATGCAGCATTATGTGCTTTAGATGTTCCGCATACGACTTCTTTTCGAACTCTTGAGCTAACTGGAGCATCTGACTGAGTGGGTAGCGAAACACATCGCCGAAAAGGAGAAAGTTAAACCAGGAGTTGGCCTTCACGAATTCCCGCAACTGCAGTTCTGGTAGCGGCAAGTTGTGAAGCGTGGCGAACTTGACCATCGTCTGACACTCGTACAACACCAGCGCCATGTCCACTTTACCATCCCGCTTCTGCCTTTCATTCAATCGGCTCAAAGTTATTTCTTCCATATACCGCAACATCTCCCTAGCAGCTTCATCATTACTCTGTATAAGTTTCGACATGTACTCGTTGACTGTTTTATTCGCTTTTTCTTCGGACAACCCTCTGTATTCCATCAAATGATTCTTTATCATTTTAGCAGCAGAGATATGAACCCTGCATCGTGTTGGATTGCATCCTATCATAGCTATGAAAGACACAGTGCAAGCGGTCATAGCACCGTCGAACCAATTCTGCAGTGCTAACGCGTGCGCCTCACAGCACGCGCTCTTTACGCTCTTGTCTTGCAAACGATTGTATGTCTGATACTGCTGTGAAACAAACGCTTGGCTAGCATTGCAGGGGCGATACTGTTTCAAATAATACACATGGTTCAACTTAGCTACATAGCCATACTTCTTCATTAGCTTCTCATCCGCAAAATCTGGCATCTCCATAGCTCTCTGGGATAAAGCTTTGATACTAGCGGACTTTACATCTACATCACTTGACAACAGACTCCCCAGGCTGCGTCTATCTGGCTTGTCAGTGAGCAGACTGTTCGTACTCTGGTTGACTAGTTGAAATTCAAATATTTTGGACACATCGAGACCGCGGTAACCAGACAACAGCTGGTACACATTCACGTCTTTTAATTCATACGTATGATTTGCATCCGCATATTTCTTGTAAATATTATACAAATGTGGAAGCTTGTCTTTGTAAAATTTATTTGGCAATTTAAAGTCTTTGAACTGTAAAAAGTCATCCTTGGAAAATATATCGAATAACTTTTTAGCGTCTTCTAGAAGTATCATTCCTAATACTAAATGTGGATTAGAGGAAACATAGTCGTCGATGTTTTCCTTGGCGATTTGCTCACAGGTTTTGTATACGGGCAGCACGTGGCTTTGTCTGTCGGAAGTTTGTTCTATGCTTTTAAACAACAACCAGAGCTCTATGCAATCTTTCGCTTCCTGCTCGACGTCAGATAGGTCAGTGTCTAATATATTACCCTCTACACATAGCGTCAGTACTTTATATAACTTATTCTTAACACAATACTTAGCTAGCTCCACATAGAAGTGCTCGCGACTGATAGTGGAGCATGATTCGGTGAAGATGTCGTCAATTAATTTCAAGTTCTGTGTGCGAGCTAGTCTTGATATGATTAAATATAAATTATTTCGCTCACTTTCATTCACAATGCCGTAAGAGGCCAATGTGTCGTAAATGCATAGCTTGGTGTAAGCAAAACAATTGCTTTTTGCAATATTTTCAATCATTTCATTTGTGACTGGCCATTTACGGAATATTTCGTCTAAGCTCTCTAGGACATGTGTGTCAAAGCCTACGGTGTCAACATTGAGAAGTTTCTTGGCGAATCCTTCGTTATTGAAGAATATGTACCGCGCGTTCATGTCGCGCACTACTTCTGAAGTCTGTACATTGATCCAACGGACAAGGATCATGGCTTTGTTGTTCTCCACCAAATAGTTCCACATTTCTACTGGAGCTGAGAAGTCTAATAAAGAGAATTCTGAAAAAGAAAAAATCTTATTTTGAATTCTACATTTATTAAAATAAAGCTGAAAACCGTAAAGCGAGCCCAGTTACATGCAGGCAAGCAAGGAATAACAACAGCTACTCATGTGCTCTGTACTGAATCAATCTTTACTTCTAACACCAAATAACTTGGCCTTAATCACTTAATGCAACAGTGTAACATATAATTTATGTATCAATCTCAAATAATATAACATTATCGAAAGTAATAAATAACGGACATTAGCATCAATGAATAAACTATGTTTGCATAACCTGTTTATTTATTACGTGTAGGCAATTTGTTATCATGGTGCCTTAAAATATTGACCTAACTAAATGGGCTATACATTATATAAGTTTATGAATAGCCTATAAAACGCATTATCACTACATAGTATAAAACAAAGTCGCTATCCGCCGTCTGCCTGTCCCTATGTATGCTTAGATCTTTAAAACTTCGCAACAGATTTTGATGCGGTTTTTTTCAGTAGATAGAGTGATTCTTAACCCATAAATCCCCAAGCGGTCACCGGTGACCGCTTTCCACTAATATTACATTACATTATAGAACTTATTTTTAATGTTTAGAGACTACTTTTGTATGACCAAATTTAGGGGATGGATTTCAACGGGTTAAGGAAGGTTTATTTGTATAATACATGCATATTACACCCGTGCGAAGCCGGGGCTGATCGATAGTATTTATAAAGCATTGCTCAAAATAATAGAACATAATGTCATGCTTTTTAAATCTTTAAATCATACATAAGGTGGACTTAATATTCCAGTCTGATCTTAGGATATTGGAGAGAAGAGTATATGGTGTGTGCAAGGAGCAACAAAGAATTATGAGTGTGAAAACGAAATTAAGACATACATGTATATTGCAGAGATGTATGTACCTAACACACTTTTGGCTAGGTGTTTCAACAGTTCCTTAAATATGTGGTAAGTTTAAAATGTTTCACATAATCAGTTAATTTTTTATGGTTTTTAACTCCTATTAAAAATGAAGGTCATAATTTATAATGCTATGCTAGTACAATACTGAAGTCCATTTATGTAAACATACTGAACATTTTGAAATGTTTACTCATGATAAGGGCTTTTTACAAAAGGTTTGCTTTATCCAGCAATTAGTGTATAGTATGGTAGGTAAATATTTATTTTTAGCCAGAGTCAACACCTAATTAAACTGTCAAACACCGCAAGGACATTGGTGACAGCATCCTATTGTTCTTTAATTGTCTCTATAATGACGGTACTCAAGAGTTAATGTGCTATAAATATGCTAAAAAAGTGTCCTACTGACTTAGAGTTTGTAGGGTATAGAGAGAAAAATAATATAAATATTTTTTAGACCATTTCCAATTGAGATTTGGAGATTAGCATCTGAAGTATAATATCTATAAAGGTGAAATATTAAACTTACCAAATGAATTAAAGAACAATGCTGTGGCAATTTTACTTTTCCATTGTTGTGGATACTTTTCTATTTTATCTATAGTCAGGGCCTTGATCTCACTTTCATTGACAACTATGCGGTCTTTTCCCATACCAAAAACTTTATTTTGTTTGAAAGTTCCTTCACTCTCAAATGCTTTTTCTAAATACCGGAGAAGATTCCAATGTCTTTTAAAATGAAGCCATTCCTCTTTTGTTTCATTACTCATATCCTTGGACAACTTCTCAAGATGTTCTACAATGAAATCTCTGTACTCAATCTGTGCAGAGTCCCGAGCTAAGGTCATCAGATGTAGTTCTGGACTTATTTTAACTTTGTTCAAAATATGCAGAACTTTAAATATCTGTTTTCTCAATAACAGCTGTACAGTCCATGCTTTCACCTAGAACAGTTGTGTAAACATTCTCAATGTTATCATAGTTATTTTTGAATAGAAAAATCACAAAGGGAATTTTTAAAATCAACTTCTAATTGAAAACTACTTCATGTGGGCGTTTAAAATTATTTACGGATTGTTACAGCGATAAAAAGGTTATTCACCTCGGCCAGAAACCATTCCCTGGCAGTGGCATCATTCCATCCATTTTTCTCCTTGAGATAGGTGATCGCCAGTTCGATATGAGTACCCTTCGCAGCCGCCTCCCTGACCACATCTCTCGGAGACTTTTCTTTCCAACACGACCATATAATCTTCTCATTCTGTGTCAACCCCTCCATATTTATCACAACATTGAGGTAAAGTTTAGATTATTTTACAAAATTCTCGAACAATGAATAACAATCTTTACACAACAAAAATACACTGATTTAGAACCATAATTTTATGACTTCTAATATGAATTCTACTCCACAGACATAAAGTTCAATTTTCTATTATAAAAGAAAACTATATGGAAATAAACTTCAACGGACAGTGACAGGTTGTCATTGTCAAAGTATTTTAATATTAATGTTGAAAGTGTTTAGAGAATAAATATTACCAAAAATTCTACCAAATTGTCAAGAGTTGGTAGGACTCGCGGATGCGCATTACCCCATACATCCATTCGGAGTCGCGGAGAACCTAACGGGTAACCGGGGCTCCGGCTCGACGTGCAGGAGAAGGAACGGGGTGGTTTTTAGTCAGTAAGAGTCTGACACTCCCTCCCGCCTCACCCAGGCGGGGGCAGTCATTCGATGATTTTCCCCCCTTAAAAAAAAAAAAAAAAAACCCATACATCCCCCCAAGCGGTCACCGGTGACCGCTCTCCACTAACTACATTATAGACCTTATTTCCAATGATTGGGGTCTACTTTTGTATGAACAAATTTAAGGGCTGATTTTCAACGGTTAAATGACTTGAGTCTTCTCATATACTTATACTCTTTGATTGGGTATCTATGCATTTACATAAAGGAATCATTTAATTAATTAATAATATTTCTGACAAATGCAAGTTCCTCCACAAATATGACTCTGAGTCTTCGTATTTATGCGTAGATTTAAATTCATTAATGTTCCTACGAGGTCCACTATTTATTTTCTTTATTATTTCATACCATGTTCAAAGCGTATAAAACTTCTTTTTAGTTACGTTGCCAAGCAACAGTTTCAAAACAACTAGGTATTTATATCTAAATTATCACGATTTCTAAGTTTTATGACGCAAATTAATAATGGCTGAAGAACTCCAAAAAGTTCATTTATATTACGATGACATTAACAAAATCAGAGTCATAGAAAACAATGTACTTAAAGAAACAGAGGATCTGAAGGACACATGCAAGGATTATGACACAAGTTAGTAACCACTGTGTAACTTAATTCTCCACGTTTCGTGTTAATCATTGCTTGGTCATTCATTGCATTACTGAGGGTCATGAGTCGTGACCACCTAAGAGGGTTTGCTCTAATTTAAACAACACAACGAAGTGACCTACTTACCTACCCGACCTACAGTTACGTTCGAATCACTCTGCTGCTTTAGGCTTATTGGTGCCTTGGGCGAAGACCATAGAGATTAATACCTTTAAATAATTATTCAATATTCACTTTACAGAGATTCAAGATTTCGGGAAGATAATCAACACTCTTCTAGAGGTTCTGAAGGAACTTGGAGATAACGTGGAGAAGAAAAAAATGGCTGCTATTGGTTCCATGAATCTTTTGAAGTCTATATCCAAAGAACGCGAAGCTGAACAAGCTAAATTACAAGTAAGTTGTACCGTACCTAGTACTGGCAAAATTATATAAAGTAGTTAGAATGCAGGTTTTGAATGAATATTTTTGTTCCAGGCTGAAATTAATGACAAATCCATGATATTAGAACAATTGGATAGTGAATATGATGCTCTTCAGATTTTAGAAGCAACACAGATGGAAACTATTGAATACTTGACTCAAATAAGATAAAAATATTGCGTAGATTAGTATTTTCGTCGAGCTTTACGTGTGTGTCGTCATGATCGAGTTAACTAATTCATTGTTTTAGTTTATTTAAAAAATATACTAAATTAGTTCCAAATTCCAGTTGAAACTATCGTAGATATTTTTAAAGTAATAAAAAGGGATTATAATTGATTATTGCTATTTTTCTTTTCACACAACTCATTTCTACAATATGTAATTTAGTTTCGAACATGAACTAGAACTGCTACCTTCTAAAACAAATTCCATTACAGCAACCACGCGCCGTTAATTTATGGCTTATCCAACTCAACTGTTTATAAAATACAAAATAAAACCATACTTTTCAGTCTGTAAAAATGTAATTTTCACTGAAACACACATGTAATAACACAGTAGTCAAACTGTAAATCATAATCGTTGAAGGAATAACCGAATTGTCTTGAAATTGTATGAATAAATTAATTTTTCTACCAATAAGTAATTCACAATTTGGAAAATTATTTCAACTTAACCACAAAATAAGTAGGAATTAAGTTTATTTTACAATACCTGTGATTACAAAAATATAACTACTTATTACTACAGAGTAACACAGATAAATAATTGAAATATAGATACATTCCCTTGATTCCAAAGTCAATTAACATTTAATTTTATGTAGGAACATGCCAATGTCATAATTTTAGATTTACCAAACACCAAATACGTCCAAATTGTGTTCCTGGCCTTAACTAGAAACATCAAGTCAATATTTAAGACTTCATTAGACAATTTTGGATTATTTTATTAGTCAGCTTATATTTTATTAATTCACATTTTAATCACGTCGCTATTACTGTCGTTTTACAAAATGATGAAAATGAATAAATAAAGTGGCACAAATTCTGCTGCCTTTTAAAAAAAAATGTACTAGAGAAACAAGACAATCCAATAGTTTCAAAATAAAAAAGAAGCCAGTTCTAGCAACTAAATGAATTATTTACTCTGTAATACATTAAAGTGGGATTCAAAATAATTAGATCATACACATTATATTCTGTAACTTACACTTACAGCTTAGCTTACTTACTAGTTGCTATCGTCAACAATCAGTTCTGGAATTTATCATTAATTCTCTCCCTCTAAACTGTAAACTTACTACAATGTGCCATATCAAATGTTGAAAATACACAAGTACTATACTGTAATATTATCCAAGCTTTAAAAAATGTCGTACAACTGTAGTAAGTATACATTTCAATCACATTTAATTGCAACAAACTACCTACCATTCAATATATAAATGCTTGTAATCCTTTCAAGTGTCGCGATCAGATGTTGTCGACTTACGTTTATATCTGTTGCTGACATTACTACGGCAATGTTGCTATGTGCATGCATATTTTTATTATTTGCTACGTCTGTATTTCTACTTGTCTACAAAATGAGTTACTCCAACACAACTATTTCTAAAAACACTGGCGACTTGTAAATATTGGGCCACAATGGTACCCTCATAAGGCAATACCAACACATATGACTCAAAACGTTTACATTACACATTATTCATCAAAAACCAGGGAGATTTGAAGCAAAACATTGCTCAATATAAATGATAAATTATTACCAATTAATAAGTAGGTATATGCTCGATGAACCCTTGTGTAACATGACCTTTTTGTTAATCATAATTTAAATAACAAAGTCTTCACCATACATTTCACAATACTATGCGTGGTTTGAACACTTTTGTCTATAATGTTTGAAGGTTTTTAGACACTCGAAGTCACTACTGAACTTGAGAGGGTATCATCGACCTTTTGCCTTTTTGATTCTTGTTGCTCTTCTTCGTTGTGCTCTTCCTCAGCGGCGCGTTTCTTAGCTCCCTCAGTCTGACTCGTGTGCTGCGCTACGTCACTGATTACTCCGTCTTTGAATCGTACAATAATAGCTGTCATATTGTCACACCCAGTACCATCTCCCATCGTGCTCGGCGCCAAGCAATGGTCGAACATCTGTGAAGATCAAGATAACACAATATTAGATACTTAAACTGTCAAACACCAAGCAGTCACCGGTGACCGCAACCTATTGTTCTATAATTGTGTCTACAAAACCGGTACTCGACGAGTTAAATCAACAGAAACATCAAAATGTTAATTCACTACCACAAATGTTACTGACCTCTTCACAAATCTGTGACAGCCTCTCGCGACCTTCGGCCAATCTCGGCAAAATAAAGTCACACACATCTTGACTAGACATGAAGTTCCATATACCATCACAAGCCAGCACCATGAACTGATCCTTCTCTGGATCAATTGTTAACGTTTTTACATCAGGCAGTGCTGTTATCATCTGTTCCTTAGCACCCAAATCTTTATTTTGTTTGTATGAGTGGTCTCCGATGGCACGAGATAAGTTTAGGCCGCCATTAATGCGTCCGTCATTCGAAACTTTTCCACCAGCTTTGGTGATCCTTTCTAATTCTGGGGCGTCCTCTGGTTTGTGGTCTATTGACATATCAATCGCCTTCCCTTCTCTGCAAATGATGCAACGCGAGTCACCAGCATTTGCCACAAATAATTCTTTCCCTATAAACAGAGAGAAAGTATGTTTATTATATAATCAATCATAACTTAGCATACTGAGTTTCAGATTACAGATAATATTTACCCCGTAGCAGTGCTACTACAGCTGTGCAGCCACTGTCATTTCCTGGTTCTTCATTCATAGAGATATCTTCCTCTCCATCATCATCACTTGATTCAGCCTCCAATTCATCATCTTCTTCTTCTTCGCCATCTCCTGCAAATTATTGGGTTACAATGGCAGTTCTAAATATTTACTATTCAAAATAAGATGTAAAACATTAGCTCTGCCTAACAACTGCTCAGATCATCATGCCTCACGTAGTCTCGGATAGTGCTCACCGTCGTTTGATGACTCCTCAACACCATTAACATTTTCTTCATCTGATGAGTTGATCTCTCCTCCTTCGAAGGTTTCATCATTTGAGTCGCTATCGTCATCATCTTCTTCGGCAGCCTGACGTAGTAAGGACTCGTAAACGGCTGCGGCGGCGCGTCTCCTTTTCGGATCTTTGGGCGCTTTGACGTCTGAACTTGAAACTGCTGCAGCTTTGTTTGAAAGTAAAGAATAGCTAATCAATCTGAGGACAATCTCTAACTGGGCAATATTTTAAAATGATTAAGAGAGTGAACAAACCTTTCGCTTTTCCCTTCGATGGTGTGGTTGATCCATTGGATGACGTGATGTTACTTTCCTCACCATCAACCTGCTTCGAATCTGTTACTTCTCCATTACAGGCATCAGGAGATCCACTGTTTTTAGCTGGTGAGCTCTTGGCATCTGCACTTTGTTCTGGCTGAAGGCAATTGTCTTCAGAGCTGTCTGGTGCAGTAGTAGCATTGGATTTGTCTACCTCCATTGCAACGGAGTCTTTCGCTTTTTCGTCAGGCTCGCTAGTGGAAACCTGTAAAGATTTAGAAATTAATTAGGTACAATCAAAATAATATCATAAATATTTTTAAACATACTTAAAACATGAACTCACTTCTCCATTTACTTCTTTATCTTCTTCATTGTTTGTTGAGGAGACTCCTCCTGTGTCTTCATCAGCGACCTCTTTTACTGACGATATGCCGTTTTTGCTTGATGATGCTTCAGCACTGGGCTGTTCTGAACTTGAGCCAGCAGCAAATGCTGAACTTGTGCCTGAACCACCGGCACCTAGAATTTTTATGAAGAAATTAAAATTATTTTAATATTTGAAAACTACATTACATTATATTTGCACACATAAACAATTTACTAAACTGTAGTTGCATTTAAGACCCATAAATGAAGTTGTATGGAATGATATTTACCTGAGCTGCCAGCTTCATCAGTGTTCTTCTTTGCACGGAGGCAGGGTGACAAAGGTGTGGCAGTGTCACCGAGACGTGCCCGATGAAGACTGCTCAGTTTATTCTCATACTTTGCTAATACTTCCTGTAAAAGGAGATAGTAGTTTAAAAAAAACAAGTATAGTAAAAGCTAATGGTATATCAAATAGCAAGATGTTATTTTCTGTGTGTCTTACATTTAACTCTTTCAGTCACACTTTTAACTGGTTATGAATATATTTTATTCAATTATACTGAAATGCTTAAAAACCAATGCAAAGGAATTTGAAGAATACTTCAAAAATTGAATTTCTAAGAAAAGGTGGTTAGTTACAGTGACCACCAAGACTGAAAGAGTTAATAACATATGTATATTGGATTGTTAATCGTGGGAAGTTTTATAACAGTTTTAAGTGCTTTATTGAAACACATTTTAACCCGTTGATATCCATCCCCTAAATTTGGTCATACAAAAGTATTCTCTAAACATTAGAAATAAGGTCTATAATGTAATGTAATATTAGTGGAAAGCGGTCACCGGTGACCGCTTGGGGATTTATGGGCTAAGTAGATAATACATTAATACCAATGGCAGTTAGTTCGCTTTCATATTATACAGTCATGAGCATAAATAATACTATGTACCTGCAATGGAAGTCTGGCTTCTTGATATAAGTTGCTGACATTGTCATCCTCAGACTCCTCCTCATTGTCACTGGGGCCTGGAGGATTTATTTCACCTATAATAATTGCATTGAAAACAATTTAAAATAAAATGAAAATAATAATAAAGAAACAGAAAGTAAACATCCAATTACTGCATTTAGTTGGGATTCGAATTTTTTAAAGAATTAGCATGTGTTTATGCTGTAAATAGTTAAGAAGGTAGGACTATAAATTCTATAACATAATTTGTTTATAGAACTGCAGTCTGAAAATCTAATTTCTTGCTTATAGAGTGCTGCCTAGAACAGGTTATTTTTTATTCTATATACATTTTATATGTAAGTATATTATATATTTGGATATTATCAACAGTAATAGGAATGTTAAATTAGACAAATTATTTATGGATTACAAGACAACCACTGTCAAGTAACTTTTTGTTAAAAAACATAAATATACAGACAAAATGCAAAATGTAAAGAAATAAGAATAAAGTGCATAATATATAAAACCAATAAAATCACATTCTATGTTATGTTAATACTTATTTACAATAGAAGTTTGACATTGAAAGCACCTTTACATCATTGCAGGGCACTCTTTGAAAGTAATGCTATAATTATTATGGATTGTGTGGTATGGCCAGTGATATTTTAACGTGATCACTGTCAGTACATTTTTGAAAAGAAAATGAAGAAATCTTTCATTTTCTGAATAATATTGTACAGTAATTCTAAGTCATTATGCAAACATTTGACCTCTGCCACATTGTCCTTATAAGCATGTATTTTCACAAGTGCCTACTTTTGTTAATATAAATATTTAAATGATTATAAATATATCATCGCACATACTATAACAAATACTGTATGTTGTCAAACTAAAATTTTGTTACTATAACCTCCATTTTTTTATAAAAACAAATCATAATTTACTGTTATAGGTTATCTGCAGGGTTGATTCCATGATTTCTGTTTTCGAAAAGTATTCTTTAAATATTCATTATTGAATGAAAAGCAACTCATAAATATGGTAATGTGTTTCTTACCAGCCAATTCTTTCAGTATATCCATGACTTCCTTAGTAGCAATAGTAGCATCAAAATCGAGGAAAGCATCTTCCAAAGCTTTTGTGAGATCTCCACTTTTATATGCATCTGTGTTTTTGATGAAGTTTGGCAGATTTTGTGAACAATAAGTGGCAACTTCAGCTCCTCCATGGCCATCATACACAGCAAATAATGATGTGTTTGAATCATACTCTAAGATTGTGTTGTGTGCATCCTAGAATTATAAAATATATTATTACTATCACATCAGCACTGCTAATATTAATCTAGTACGCCTAGTAATACCGGATACAAGAGATAAAGGTTAGTGAATACAAATATAAGTACAAGTCTTGCTTAGTACTTATAAAAGCGCATTTTCGTGATGATACACTTTAATCAACTTGTAGATAGATCTTAATTGCATAAACATGAACAATCTCGCTAGAAAGATCGTGCTTTGGACATTGGACATAGTCAAACGCCTAGCTAAATCTAACAGCGCTAACCACTATCGGCGACTCCTAGTTTTACAAATACACCTCTATTGATAAACGATCGCGAGAGATTGTGAATGTGATGGATATATGGATAATCTTGTGTAGTTTGGAATACTGATTTATCCTTTATTGAACGAAACAATATAGTACCTCTTGATTGACACGCCATCCCTGCATGGAGCTTGCGCCGCACTCAAGTTTATCATTGGCTTCATCGCTCGACACTTTTTCAGTAACAGGTTCAGACAAATATGCACCCATGTTGGAATGTTCTAAACATGAGTTCTAATTACATAAAATAAATAATTGAGGCGCGAAAACCTCCGAAAAACGCGCAGGCGGCAAGCTAACCCGAGTCAATCAACCGCCGAACACGGGGCTGCCATATTACAATAATATTTCACCCTCAAACTAAGCTCATTCTAACATTTAATTTTGATAAATTTAGTCGATTTTGTAGTATTACTATTAATTAGTAAATTTAATACTTAGCACTTCCCATTTTTGATATAATGAAGTATTATTAACAACGGAATTATGAAACTTTATTATAAAAATATCTTAAAAATCATTTTATAACTCCTATAAATAGGTGTAGATTTGGTCTTAGGAAGATTAATTATTACTTTTAAACTTTTAAATGGAATCATAACTTTCTATTTTAGTACACTATCTACATCAAGACTCCAAATATGTCTTTCACCTTAAAGTTAGTGAATTTTTATAACTGATTGCTAATGACGATTAGATTTATATAAACAAAAGAAACCTAACTTTTACTATTTACTTATTCTGTTGGCTCTGCGACCTGCGACGCAAAGTGAATCTTGACCTTTAATATAAAGCTCTTAGAATAGAATATAACTTTATTGTACACCATTAATATTAAAGTACATACAGAAAAGGAAATGACAAATAATAATGGGCACAAAGGCGGTCTTATCACTTATAATGATTTCCACCAGACAACCTTTGGGTGGATATAATGAAAAGAAATATTTAGACGGGTTGTGTATTTAACTTGACTTGAGCCTGATATGTAATAAATTGTTACCAACCATCGCTAAATGATAGTACGGCAATAATTAGTTCGTAATAAATCCGGGAACCGAACCCGTATTGAAAGTTTGTCCGTGTTGAACCAACAGGGTCGAATTAATAGATTCGAATAATTTTGATCGTGTAATATTAAGATTTAGAATCCCAAATGTATTTGTCTGTAACATAGTAGTCGGCGTCCTGATTTCATATTATGATTTGATATTTGTTTGTCCCCACAATATTCGTCTTCCAATAACGGAGTGGCGATAAGTAAACAAATTGTCTGCTAGATAACATTAATGTAGTAATAAGCCAGTAATATATTATGTATCGATATTTTATCTCCTATTATAATGTAAACACGACGGTGGTTTATGTACATTCGTGTTAGGAGAGTGATAGCGGTAGGATGGATTCTTTGTACGAACGCGCGATATCTGAAGTAGGTCAAGAAGGGAAATTTCAAATAACTTTTGATATTTTTTATAATGTGTTGCTTTCTGGATTGTGGTCAATGGCATATAATAATATAATTTTAGCGCTAACGATTACCCCACACATATGCAAACTACCTCAAAAACCTACGAATGTGACTGAATATTACTGGAAGTCGAAATACATTCCTACGTAAGCATGAATATCATTCTTTATCTATTAATGAGGTTGTAAAATATTGAGTAATATACAATATAAATTAGTGTTGAGTTATTTTTAATTTATTACTCAATTGTGTTATCCAGCAGTGTCGAAGATGCTGTCGGAGCAACGAAATTTAGTGACTGTTTGATTTACACTAACCAAGAGTTGAATAAAACTAAAGGTAATGTAAGTATCCTTATAATTGAATATCTATGTTGTTTTAGCGATTCCACTTTCATTAAAAATGAGATAATTAAGCTATCAATTAAATTTTATTTTCAGAATGTGATATTTTCGAATACGACCAAACCTGGTTTGAAACAACTATCCCATCTGAAAATAATTGGGTTTGCGGCAATGACATAAATGTAGCAAATGTTTTTGCTTATAGCAAAATTGGGGAAATTATAGGATCTTTTATCTTTGGATGGTATGGAGACGTGTGAGTAACGAATGAATAGACAAAATTTGAAAAAATCGATAAAGTATTTTACTACTGATAAGTTAATTCATGGTTTTGTTTTATTTATTTTCAGATACGGGCGTCGACTCACATACATTATTTCGTTGGCTATGTTAGTAGTCGGCCGTTTCGTGTCAATATTGGCCAGTTCTTCATTTGTTCTATTCACAATTGGATGTATCATAGCTTCTTTACCATCATGGTCGGCTACGCAGAGTACGGCCATCGTATCTTTGGAAATATCTTCTCCTAAACGACGAGCAAGCGTCGCTAAATTGAGACTAATATCTATGAGTCTCGGAATGTGTCTAATGCCTTTATTTTACTTGTGGCTTAGGAATTGGAAACCTTTTATGATTGTCACCACCGCAACACAGATACCTTATTTATTACTTTCTTGGTAATATTTTTTTTAAGTAAATTATGACTAAAAAAATATTTATGTTTTATAAACATTAAAATCAAGTTTCATAATTTCAGGAAATTAATTGAGTCACCACAGTGGCTTTGGGTAAATAGAAAAACGAAAGACTGCGTTAAAAGTCTCAAGCGTATAGCCAAAGTAAATAAAACTAAACTTAGTTCTCCTACAGAAGAAGAAATCCTTACGAGCGGAGTAGCTGAGGCAAATGAAACGGAGGTCTTAGGTCCGCTAGCATTATTTTCTGGTTGGCGCTTAGCTACTAACACTATATTGCAATTGTTTTTGTGGTAAGTACTTAGTCAAGTGTTAACCTATGGATGCTTATGTGTCTGTACTTCTATTTTAATCTAGACTACATTGTTATAAAATAGCTTTAGCTTTAGTGCCATTTTGTGATGAGAAAATAAAGATGTTAAGTATGTACTATATTAATCAAAAATTTATGAATTCCCGACAACATCGACATCGACATCGACGACGACCCCATGGGAAAATAAAACGTTATACCGATATGAAGGAAATTAACCCAAAATATCGTATCCAATGAAATGCCCGCTTTAAAAAGTGTATTTTTTTTTGTTTTTTTTTTTTATAAACGTGGCCCCAAACTAGGATTTTCTACTATGTCGTGGGTCGTGGGTGCGTTTCCAAACATACAAGATGTGTAGGTATGTGAATATATATCACACCCAGACCTGAATCAACAATTTGTGGATAGCTTAAAGAGTCACTCAGCTGGTTGCCCAGTCACGGCACCAACCGTGCAATCAAATTAGGTATCTAATAACTAATTATGACTGTGTCCATAATGATAAGTTTATTAATACTTTGTGTTTTGTTTTCTAAAGGGTCTGCGTTTCAATCAACTACACTGTGGTGTTATTGAGTTCAGCAGAAAAGTCTAATGGGAACCCATTTTTGGACTTTGCTTGGCAGTCTTTAGCTGAGATACCTGGATTCTTTATAGCATCATGGCTTGCAAATAATATTGGTCGACGATATACAGGGATTATTTCGACAGCCATAACTGCATCTATTTGGATTTTTTACGGTTTTCGTGAAATTTGTAAGTTCAGTGTAATCTCCTCCTATTTAAATAAAGTTAAGAATACTAAGTTACCAAGTATAACAATTACAGTTTTAATTATTTCCAGATGTTGCAGATTGGCTACACAGTCAATGGTTGGGAAGTTCATTCGTTTTTATAAACAGATTGACAATAACAGTTTCCTACTATATAATAAATTTGTTCAATATGGAACTTTATCCAACGTGTTTAAGACAAACAGGAATGTCATTAGGAAATGTTGTGAGTGGTGGAGCGGGTGCGATAGCGCCTTATATCTTGTATCTGGTATGTTCCATTGTTTAAATTATTTTACTTTTAAACTGTTACAATAATAAGTTAATATGGAGGTCTATATTTTAATGAAATTCAAACGACATTACTTGTAAGTAGGAAGGTATCTGCTAAGCATTTAGTGTGTTGCCTGGCTCTGTACTGGCATGCTGAATTACTCAATCATCCAACCAACATGCCTCCTATTGTTGAATACCTAACTGATTACTTTCCAAGTTTTACTAGTGGTAGAAATGATAAAACCTATGTAAATGTTTTTTTTTTCAGGGTCGTCGGTATAGTTCTCATTACCAAAATGCCATTCTTATATTTGCGACAATATTTGGTGGAATTTTAACATCTTTCTTTTTACCCGAAACTTTGAATGCTAAACTACCGGAAACGTTTGAAGATGCACAAAGATTTGGTCGACGTCGAAGAAATAGAACATTTTACATGTCTGTAAACCTAAAAAACGAAACAATAGATTCAAACTTGCCAAATATCTGAAAACAATGATAGTTTAATGTATAATCGTCATATACCTATTTTTCGATTTAGTATTATCACTATCCAGGAATTCCGCGGGGTTTGAATTATAATCGTGATTTCGTATCAATGTTTCCAATTAAACAAGAAATATTATTATTAAAAAAGTGTAACAAGGCACATCTACCTTGCCTCTATGGAGAAATATAAACGTGATGTTATAATTATTCTTTGTTTTATTATCAGGAAATGAGTTACCTGCAAATTACTAAGAAAATTTAAAAAGGACATGGCTAATCATGGTTATCAATTTCCTACTGTGATTTTAATGTAGCGTGCTATTTACTTTCCCGCAATACTAACATACCTATCAAATTCAAATACTAAAAGTTAAAGGAAAGTCAGCTGTAAGAATCGTTAGATTAAAATGATTCCAAAAAACCAAATAAAAGACCCAAAGACCAAACTACAGAGTAATAAGACAAAGCTAAATCATTAACCATTTCGTTTTTAATAGTGACTGTCAAAACTAGGTACAAGTACAAATGAAGTAATTATTGCCTAAAACTAAGCTCAAAATAACATTGTCACTCGACTAAATTTTCTTTTATCGAAAGTAGAGTTGTCATGAATAGTAACCATTAACAAGAAATAGGTTTTCCCTTTGTTTTTGTTGTTTCTGTCTGTGGGATTCTCTATTCTCTATGAATGATTATAGATAATTACGGGATTCACGGGATTTAGGTGTTGGTTTGGTAAAATAAATTTTTATTTTATCAGCTCACTGAATATCATAATGACTATGTAGTGAAAAAGTGGAAATATATGTGTAAAACGAAATAATACATCATTATTTCGATCAAATTACAATACGAGTCGTCGTTATTACGCATAACTCGTATTGTATTCGAACATCGTCAAGCCTATTTTTTGGTTGCTAAAATGTCGGGCGACCACAAAACATTGATAAAAGGTAGTCCATCGCAATATGTGAAGCTAAATGTGGGTGGTACACTGTTCTATACAACTATCGGTACACTGACAAAGAGTGATAACATGTTGAGAACGATGTTCAGTGGCCGGATGGAAGTACTAACAGATTCGGAAGGTATGCGTAGTTTGTTCTATTTAATGTTGTTATCATATATTTATCTGTGCGCACGGACTGTTTAGAGGAAATAATATAGTTATGAAATTAACTCATTTAGCTTTTTACTTCTGCAGGCTGGATACTCATTGATCGATGTGGTAAACACTTTGGCACCATACTGAATTATCTTCGTGATGGTACTGTTGCCCTGCCGGATAGTTACCGTGAAATCATGGAACTGTTGGCAGAAGCTAAGTACTTTTTGATTGAAGAATTGACTGAGTCTTGTCAACAGGCATTGGCCAAAAAAGAAAGAGAAGCTGAACCTATTTGCAGAGTTCCTTTGATCACTTCACACAAGGAAGAACAATTGCTGATAATGTCAACTTCTAAGGTATCTAAACTGGCTTTAGTTTATTGATAATTTTTTCTTTAACTGATATGTTTTTAAATAATACTCATTATTTTTTTGATTAATTTTTCTTTTTAAACATTTTTCAGCCTGTTGTCAAGCTCTTGATTAACCGACATAACAACAAATATTCATACACAAGTACATCAGATGACAATTTGCTGAAGAACATCGAGCTGTTTGACAAGCTTTCACTGCGCTTCAGTGGCCGTGTATTGTTCATAAAGGATGTGATTGGCTCAAATGAGATTTGCTGCTGGTCATTCTTTGGACACGGCAAAAAGTGTGCAGAAGTCTGCTGTACATCCATTGTGTATGCTACTGACAAGAAACACACTAAAGTTGAATTCCCTGAAGCTAGGATATATGAAGAAACTTTGGGCATTTTACTGTATGAGAGCAGAAATGGACCTGATCAAGATTTAATTCAAGCAACTTCATCACGTGGCGCTGTTGGTGGACTGTCCTGCACTAGTGATGAGGAAGAGGAGCGATCTGGATTAGCGCGACTCAGATCAAATAAACAGAATAATCAATCTTAGCGGTTACAGTCGGGCTTGGCGCGCCTTCGAAGCTCGAAACGGACTAATGTCTGATACCAGGCTGGCTTCTTGTTGCCATTTTGCTGGCTGCCTTGCTTTGGTCTGTAGACTTTACTGAGCTGTGTCCTTCAAAGGTCAGTTTGACCACTTTTCCATGGCTCTCTTGATTGTGGAGGAATGAAAATGGCATAAGGCATTTATGATTATAGTCAGATCTATGGACAACTTTCTTCTATTACTATGTGTCTGTGTCTATTCTGTGTGTAGTGAGTAAATTCTACCAGAAGTTGATTAGAAGAAACATGACGTTAAAAGTGTTATGTATGATGCAGGACTACTACATATCTTATATTCACCTGGTACATATGTGGTAGTGTCATAGAATATTAATTGGTGTCTAGTATACGATTCATAAATGTATTTGGTAAATCTACAGTATTTGTTGTTGATGTGTAAATTTAGATGTAGTAAATGGGATGCAAAGAAAAGAATGCATTTGTCATATGCAACATCACAAGCCGTTAGTGACAGAAGTATGGTTGAATGTCTTGAGACTAGGAAATGTACATTATTAAATGTTGCATGATGTGTTGTTATAAAAGTGTAAAATAGTGTAATATTCTATCTAAGATTGTATGTGAAACAATGTGTACAAGCTTTGCAGTACATCTATTTCATAATTCTAATGTAATTTTACGCTTATATTTATCACACGACTTACACAGCTCAAGTGATTTGCCAAATCAATGTTGTCTAGTATTAGAAACTTGTTCCTGAAACATCTCAAGTGGATGAAGCTCATAATTTAATACCAATTTTTGTTGTTAAGAATTATTCTTATTGCCTATTAGGGGATTAGTAGAACTCAAATTGTAGTTGATTCTAGGAATAAAATAATTGGTGTCTGAATTCAATCCAAATATAATTAATATGATATAATAGATTACTGCATTGCACTATTATGATATTTGCCACCAATTGCCATTATACTTCATGTTATATTGTAAATATTCTAAATAATACATTAAAAACGTGGTATAGGAAATCTTCAATTGGTAGAAGTGATACTAAATACAAATTCTTAACTCTTTATCTTAGGAATTCATGGTGTATGATTTTGCCAAATTATATAGCTAATGTAATAGTAGTAAATTGATAAGTAATTATTGTAACAGAAAAAAAATGGAATGGTATTAAAGTTATGCAAATAATTATCAGTCTAGTCTGAAATGATTGTTTCATGAGACTTTGTTAGGCGAAGGGAAAGATTAGAGAGTAACTCCTTTAGATAGTTTTCAGATTATATTGATGTTGTGTGTGTGTCACATTATTTCAATTTGTGACTCATTCATTAGTATACATAGTGCAAAGATTGATTTATTTTACAAGATATTAGTATCAAATGGCAAGAAGACATATTTCATCCTTATTATAAAGGTAGATTTAGCAAATTAAGAATGATGGATGGTTTAAGAGGCTAATTAAAGTGATTGAATATGAAGATTAGAGTTAGTACTGGTCATTGTACAAAATGAGATTGAGAAAGGAGTCCCTCCTAGAACATTTGAAGATTGGTTTCATGGTTTCACTGGTTTCATTATGATAGAAGCCATTTGAGTGGAGAATGATTATTGTCAAATTTATAACACCTATAACTTGTTATATCCTTAAAAATATTATATGCTCACTGTTTAGCTGTCCTTTATGGTTTTATTTTACCTTATTTTAACTCGTTGAGTACTGTCATTATAGACACAACTAAAGAACAATAGGTTGCGGTCACCAGTGTTTGACAGTAAAAAATTCGTTTCAGGTATTTCAACACCTACGTCATTGTCCATTTGAGTCTCAAATAGTTTTCATTTAAATAAAACAAAACTGGTGGTGTAAATAACTTGGGAAAAGAATTGAGAAATAGAATTCCTATTCCTACTCTCTTTTAATCGACAACAGAGTCATCTGTCCAATCAAGTAGGAACAAAATGCTTTTAGGGTGGAGAAACATTGAATACCTACCATACTGTGAAACCATCACCACTATAGAGGTAAGTTCTACTACAGGTATAGAGAAGTCGCTAGCATTCAGTTTTTAATTAAATGCATTTTCGATCCATAACTTCGAAGAAAAAAAAAAGCAACTGTGATATTGACTTGAGTTAGAATAGAAAAATGAAGAATTAGTAGGAGAAATGGAACCTAGATTTGCACAAATTCTTTACAAACAATGAGATGTTGATTAGAATAGATATTATTGTTCATGTTGTAATAGCCCAGTATCACAATATGTTATGGGGAGAACAAAGAAATACATCATCTAGGATAGCTAAAATATATTTTATTGAATAGCTAAAAGATTTCTTTTATAACATTCTAAACTGCATAAAGGAATTCCAGTTTTGGAACAGTTGTACTTCTTAATATTGTTACATCCATTGACACCACACCTCATGGGTTTCGGAGGATCTATGGGGCATTTCTTCTCCAGTGGGAATGGCACACCAGGTGGCAAAGATAACGAGATTTCATTATTACTGTTTTTGTATACAATCATTGGTTCCAGTTTCCTTGTAGGCTTCCCTTTTGACATATTCTTTAATTTAGATTCCTGTTTTTTCAATAGTCTGTCCATGGTTTTCTTTTTATCTTTTTCCCTTTTCTCATCAGCCATTTGTTTACGTTTTTGTGACTTTAATGCAGCTTTCTGTATGGCCTCCTCAGTCATTACTTTTTCTTTGTATCCTGAAGGCAGTGCTAGAAGAACTTCTCCTCCAGGACTGGTCTCCTTATCGGTACCTCTCTCATACATGGCCCGTTGCCTAGCTGTCATCATTTTTGGATCCTTTGGTTTTATTTTCTTAAGTTCTTCATCAACCTGAAAAAATAATGAAACCATTTTAAATTAAGGATGAATAAAACCTTAGTACTTATAGATAATATGTTTTAGTATTGTCTTTACTCACTTCTTCCAATTTTCCAGATTTTATAGCATCTAGCCATCTTTCTTCTTCACTAGAAGTGCCGCTGTCTCTGCCTTTCTTCTTTTTCTTAGATGATGATGCTTTTGGTGGAGTGCTAGATGAGGAGCCAGGTATGGACCTCCGAGAGTCGGAAGACGACTTCATTGTTTGCGCTTTCAATAAATCCGCTGCAGATGTTCCTGGTACGTCGCGTCCTTTTACCTTTATTTTATACGGTTTGGCCACAGCGTCTTCGTACGATACGTCGATAGACGATTCGCTATCGTATTCATTTTCTAATTTTCTCTTCTTATGCTTTTTGTGCTTATGCCTTTTATGTTTTTTCGGCGGCGGCGTGTCTATAAATTGTCATTTTTATTAATATTTAGAGCATGGAGATTATTGATTGTCAACAAAACAAAGTTTAGATGTATTTACCAATTACGATTTCATCCTCAGTTGTGCTCTGTTCACGATGTCTGCGAACCATATTATATTTTACTCTTGATAAGATTCAAGGTAAGATTATCGTTAACTGAAGGTTTTGCTGAGCTTATTTGTAAGAACTTTTATTTTTCATGTACCAATTCACTTCACTTCGCTTTGCAGTACAAAAACAACATGCAAATGCAACAATTTGACGTTTGGCAGTTTATTTGACATTTATCCTTTGTGGCTGTCAAAATTATGTCGTCAATTTTATGACAAGCCTTTGGCTTCGTGTTATTTGCGATAAAAAAAGCTTGTAATAGTTGGAAACAATGGAAATTAAAAACTTAATGAAGACAAATAGTAGTAGGGCAATGTGCTGAAATTTATACATATTCTGGGCCTCTAGTCAAACGCCACTTTAGCGCTTGTCTACAGAGAGAGTAGAAATCAAAATGTATGGGGATGACACTGACAAGTGTCAAAATATACGTCAATTCCATAT